CAAAGAGAGGAGGACGTCAACAAGACCAAGTAGGAGTATCAACCCTCACAAAACCACAATTATAGACAGAATCCACAAACTACAATACCCCAGAAAGGGCTTAAGGGCCCACGAATGAATCTCCAGCAATGCAGTGAAGCAAAAACACGGAGAACATCCACACGGAAACGATCGCTGGTGAGATGGCATGCCTGAAACGCCCGGGGACGGCGAGGAGCAGAGAGCAGAGGCGGAGGCTACGGGCGCCAGCCGCGGGACCGAACCCACGTGGTCCCCAGCGGCTCGCTCGTCGGAGGACACCGGTATCTCTTGCCACTCAGGTAACCAACAGCCCTGTCCGCCGCGGAACCGCAGAGAGGGAGCTACGGCGGCACACTCCTCCCCACCCAGGAAGCCGCCCCGCCTTGAGCCGCTTCAGGAACGGAACCCCACCTCTCCCGACCGCAGAGCCCGGCTGCCCCTCCAGTGCCCACACTCTGGGCCCGGGCTCTGTAGCTGCACCGGCCCGTCCACGTCTCAGACGCTGGAGCCCTAGCCACCGCGAGCTGGTTAGCACTCTGGGACCCCAGGAAGCTAGGCCCCTTCCCGACCCCAGCCGCTCAAACTGCACATGCCTGTGCTCCCATTCATGACTCCCCGCTATTTCACAAGCACCTCCACCTAGCAAATTGTTACCAGAGCAGCAGTGGTGTTGCCGGTGCCCTGAGCACCATTGCCATTACTACCCAGGAACCCAGAGCTCTGTGCCTGATCCATGGGAGCCATTCATTAGACACTGGTGCCATTGCCACTGTGAATGGTCCCACAAGTTAGACCCAGTGCCAAGAGGGATCCCCTCAGCTACAACTTTCCAGGTGGCAGAATAAGTAATCAGGATGACCTTAGCAGCCTTAGCCACTGAATAACCACTCCAACAAACCTCACACCACTGCAGACATACACAGCATTGGCCATTGAGAATCCCAGCACTCTTATTAGTCAACACCAACCTCAGCTGACAGAGCTCCATAGAGATGACACAGCCGCATTCTCACTGGTGTCAGAACCACTGCACCCCACCCAGCAAGTGTCCTCACGCTGCCCTCTTTCCTGGAAGGTCGTTCACAATGATACAATAGCATCAAAGAGAATAAAATACTTAGGAGTAAACATAACCAAGGAAGGAGGTAAAAGACGTGTACACTGAAAACCACAAAACATTGATGAAAAGAATTTAAAAGATGCAAATAAATGGAAGGACATTCCATGTTTATGGATTGAATGACTTAATATTGTTAAAATGTCCATACTACCCAAAGCAATCTACAGATTCAAAGTAGTCCCTATCATAATCCCATGGCATTTTTTATACAAACAGAAAAAGCAATCCTAAAATTTAGATGGAACCACAAAAGACCCCGAATAACCAAAGCAATCTGGAGGAAGAACAAAGCTGGAGGCATCACACTTCCTGACCTCAAAATATGTGCAAAGCTACAGTAATCAAAACAGTATGGTACTGGCACAAAGTCAAGCATATACACTAAAAGAACAGAACAGAGAGCCCAGAAATAAGCCCACACGTCTGGCCAGCTGATCTCTGACAAGGGTGCCAGGAATGCACAATAGGGAAAGGACAGTCTCTTCAAAAAATGGTATTGGGAAAACTGGATAGCCACACTTTTTAAAAATGAAATTCAATCTAACCTCACAGCATACACAAAAATGAACTCAAAATGTATTGAAGACTTAAATGTAAGACCTGAGACTATAAAACTCCTATAAGAAAACAAAGGGAAAAATCTTCTTGACAATGGTCTTGGTAGTGATTTCTTGCATATGACACTAAAAGCACAGGCAACAGAAGCAAAAATGGACAAGTGAGACTACAGCAAACTAACAGGTTTCTGCACAATAAAATAATAGAGTGAAAAGGCAACCTATGGAATGGGAGACCATATTTACAAACCACATATCTAATGCAGGGTTAATAGTCAAAATAAGGAACTCCATCAACGCTAGAGAAAAAAAAGAAAGCCCTCTTTACAAAATGGGCAAATAGACATTTCTTCAAAGAAGACATACACATGGCTAACAGGTGTATGAAAAGATGGTCATTATCACTAATCATCAGGGAAACACAAATCAAAACCACAAGTGGATATCACCTCACCCATCATCCTACCAACCTTAGGATGGCTGTTCTGTTATTCTGTCTACTTATTCTATCGTTTGTTGAAAAAAATATTAAAACTTGATCTTTGGTAATGGATTTGTTTATTCTTTTATTTCTATGAGATTTTTCTTCACAGATTTTAAAGCTGTTATTTGATGTATTTACATTGAGGATTGTCATATTTTCTCTTGATCAGCGATTCCCTTATCATTATGAAATATCCCATTTTATCACTTAATATTCTTTGTTCAGAAGTGTAGATTTTTTGATTTTAATATGACCATTTCAGCTTTCTTTTAAGTAGATTTGCAATGTACTCATATAGCTTCTCCATTCCTTTAATTTTAACCTATTTGTATGTTTTATATTTAAAGTAGGTTTCTTGTAGATAGCAGAAATTTGAATCTTCCTTTTTTTTATAATCCCATTTTGAAAATTTGCCTTTTAATTGGATATTTAAACTGTTTACATATAGTGTAATTATTAATATCACTACCAGTATCCCAGGGAAGCCTCCTGACCCCAGAAGCAACCCAAGCTTCCACACATGAAGACAAAGTCTCTAGAATTTTCCTATATCCTTGGATTTGCTTTCTGAGACTGAAGCACTTCCAGGAATTCTCTGGGCCCTGTCTAGGCTCAAATACTTTGTTTTGGCCTGGGAGGGCCAAGACTGTCCACAGCCCTGCCTCCCTGGTGACATCCTACAGACTATCAACCCAGCTGCCCAGGAGGAGAGAAGTGTGGGGACACTGAACTGCTCTCTCTTCCCCTGGGGGGGCTTGTCTCACCCCTCTGCCAGCCATGGGCAGTGCTGGTGGTACCTGTGCCATGACATCATGGGACCAGATGTCTGCAGCTGACGTGAGGTGTGCTTTGCTCCCCACTTCTGAGGGTCTCAGTAACGTGGGGCCAAATACGGTAGCCAGGCTGTGAAGTGACATTTTGTTGACGGGCTCCTTCTCAGCAACCCTGAGATGGAAGGGAGAGGAGAAGAAAGAACTCATTCCCCAGCAGCCACTTGGAGCTCCAGCACCCTTGGCCTTAGCTATAGGAACTCCCGGAAGGACTCCTGGAAGGTGGTCCTGGAAGAGGAAGCCTCCCCTCCTGAAGGGAGAGACCTCCCGGTGGGGTGGGACTAACCCAAGGGACCAATGCCCCAGCTATGTCCCAGTATATTACTATAACAGGTTTCCAGCTTCTGGGATACCCCCTGAACTGATGTTAAAGTGCCAGAGCCACAAGCACCCACAGATATCAACTCCAACTCCCTTGCCTTGCAGATAATGATATTACTGTTCTAAGAACTTTCCCTATAATTCGTACTCATCACAATCCTTTGCAGTAGGTACTGCTGTCATCATCCCCACTGTAGGGATGAAGAAACCGAAATACAGAGGTTAAGTAACTTGCCCAAGGTCACACAGCTAGCACGTGGTAGGGCTGGGATTCGAATCTGGGCAGTCCACCTTCAGAACCCATGATCTTAACCACTCTGCTATTTACCCATCATCAGTCGATAAGGAGCCCAGAGGAAGAGTCACAGTGGCTGGGGCAGTCGGAGAAAGGGCAGGAGGGCCTGGAGCCCCAGCGGCAGTTGCTAACTATGACCTAAGGCTCTGCCTGCTTTGTTGTGGCAGGAGCAGACTTAATCCCAGATGGAGCCCAGGGGCTATCCTTCCATGTCTTTCCAGACGGGTCTGCCTCATGGGACCCCGACTTGCCTCCCTTTGGATCTTCCCCTGCTTCTCTTACATAACAGGCCAGATGCTCTGTAGATCCTTCCCCTGAGTGACAGCAGGAGCTGCCATCTGCGGCTGGAGTCCAGGCAGGCCCAGTATCACCACACACATCAGAGAGGCTCTGAGCCTCCCCCAGTCCTAGGAAATGTTTCTGGGGCTGAGACCCACCCACCCCGAGCAGTGCCTCCCAGCCCACCCCTCGACACCATTGCTCCCACCCTCTGGGCAGGAGCCACGGACGTGCTTGCTGACTGCTCTGGAAACGGGCAGACAAACATTGCAATGCCAGCAGGCAGCTGTGCAGCGGGGCCGGCCCCTCACACCACACACACACACGCAGACACCACACACACACACGCAGACACCACACACACACACGCAGACACCACACACACACACACACGCACACGCACACGCACACGCACACGCACGCACGCGCACGCACACACACACACACACACACACACACACACACACCCCAGCCCCAGCCGGGCCCAGATGTGGGAACAGACTGTGCCCAGTTCCCAGGGTGGAAAACCT